CATGCAGAGTTCAGGCAAACATGGCTTGGAAACCTTGCCAAGTTTTTGCAAATTGACACCCTCCATGTCCCGATCCATGAACTGCCCAGTCTTGTTGACTTAGAAAATGCGTTCAGAAGGGTTTCGATTGGGAAAGCTGTTGGCATGGATGGCATCCCGCCAGAATTGTGCCGCTTCAAAGCCCGTGACCTTGCGAGATTGTCGTACTCCATCTTGCTCAAAACCTGCCTCTTTGGCCAAGAAGCCATCGAACATAAAGGTGGCAGATTAGCGATCGCATGGAAACACAAAGGTGATCCCACTGAGTGTTCATCGCATCGGTCACTCTTGGTTTCAAGCCATTTAGGTAAGACCATCCACCGGGCATTGCGGCAGAAACACAATTCGCTGTACGCTCGCTTCATGCAATCACAACAGCTCGGGGGTAGGCCCCACATGCCAGTTGGCGTTCCACTTCACATGACCCGGGCGTTTTTGAGATGGCAACAGCGACAGAATTTCCCAGCATCGGTTGTATTCCTTGATCTCACTGAAGCCTTTTATCGGGTCGTTAGAGTGCTGGCTGTAGGTGGTGAATTTGATGATGAACACTTGGCCTACATCGCGCACCACTTGGGATACTCTTCGGAGACATTGCATGAATTTGCCCAGCAGATCAGTGAACCTTCCGCCCTTGCACAAGCAGGTGCACCTTTGCATGTCCAACGATTCATGCAAGCCCTGCACACTGACACTTGGTTCACCATTGGTGACCAAACTGACATCGTCAGAACAGAGCAAGGGTCACGTCCAGGAGACAGTTATGCGGATGTCGTTTTCGGACTGCTTTGGGCCAAATTGCTCAGAAAGTTCGAATCCAAATTGATTGCAGCAGGTGTTCTCACCTTTGTTCCCAACATTGAACATCCACATCTTTTTGGGAGCCTTCCTGATGATGCCACTACCAAACCATTTATCGGTCCAACGTGGATGGACGACCTGAGCGTCTGTCTCTGTGCTCAGTCGAACTCAGCATTGTTGGCCAAAACTGGTACGGCTTTGAGCATTCTGATTGACCTTTGCCATGAAACCCACATGCAACCGAACCTCAAGAAAGGGAAAACAGAAGTCATGTTGTGTTTTCGTGGATCTGGATCAAGAGCACTCAGAAGGCGATTCTACTCACAAAATTGTGGTTTTCCTGTTGTATGTGAGAATCAGACCCACTGCATTTCAGTTGTGAGCAGATACCTTCATTTAGGAGGGATCATTCATCACAAGACGGTCACGAGTGTCGAGATCACGCGCCGCCTTGGCATTGCACACCAAGCATTCACGCATCACAGGAGAGTGCTGTACCGCAATCAACAGATCCCGTGGAAGAAGCGCCAGGAAATTTTTGCCACACTTGTACTCAGCAAACTTGTGTACGGTTTCGAATCCTGGACGTTTGACACACAACAGTGCCGTGACCAGATACACACTGGCATCATCAAACTCTACAAACGTCTTTTGGGTAGCCGATTTTCAGAGCACCTCACGGACGATGCAGTCATCATTGCTGCAGGGCTGCCATCTCCTACTGAGCTTCTCAGATGTTGTCGCTTGCGTTACTTTGGCACGTTGTACCGTTGTGGCCATGCTGCACATTGGGGCCTATTGCAAGAAGATCAGACATGGGTCTCCCTGATTGAAGATGACTTTCGTTGGCTTTGGCGTCAACTGTTTAACAACACCAGTTTGCCTGATCCTGCACTGCATTTTCCTGCATGGAGTGACTTAATCCTGCATCATGGAGGCTACTGGAAAAAGCTCATCAAGAAAGGTGCTACCCATGCATGTTTGCAAAGAGAGAATGAAGAAATTGCGGTTCAGATGCATCAGAGGGTTGCACATATAATCCATCAACATGGATGGGCTCCTGCCCTTCCACAGCCTTTCAGCACGTCCACTACAGGGAACAAAACCTTTGGTTGCTTGCATTGTAGGACAGCCCATGCCACAAGGGCTGGTGAAAGTGCCCACATGTTCCGACGCCATGGATTCCAGGCACCGGCACGGAGGCTTTTCGACGGCACCTCACGTCCCAATTGTTTGCGAGAGTATCACACTCGTGCAAAAGTTCTGGCCCACCTAAGACATGCTCATGTTTGCAGACAGAGTCTTGTCGGCAGAAAGTTGCAATGCGCAACAACCCCCGGGACCGGATCGATTGTTGACAGAGCCCTTCATGAAGCAACAGATGGGCCCATTCCTTTCTTGCATGGATCAGGGCCGCGCTTGCCAGATGGTAATCGTCAGGACTTTGTTGCCTATGACATTCAAGTTCTGGAGGACATCTACATATGTCTAGCTGAGTTGGAACCGGATGTTGATCCACTGAATGCCTTGCAAACAGTGATCCAACGACACCCGATCAGTTGGACCACATGCTGCAGTACTTTGTCTGAATTTCGGGAAACATTCACACCTGCTGATGCAGAGCCTTTGTGTCTAGGTTTTGACCAAGTCATTGCATGCATTCATTCCCTGCTTGATGTGGAACAGTGGCCATTCCTTGTCGCAGCGAAGCAACCAAATTCACTGTCCAAGGTGCGCCTGGATGAATGGGAAAATTGGTTTGCAGACCTTGCCACAGGGCCCATTGCAGAACGTGCTTTGATCCCTGCCATACCTCGCCCAGTCTGCCGTTACAAAATTGTATTGCATGCATACGCTGGAAGACGCAGACGAGGTGACATTGAATGGTACATGACCTCATTTGCAGAACAATTTCCTGGTCATATTATTGTGACTGCCTCGGTTGACATTGTCATTGACTCCAAGTTCGGGGATATTTCAAAGGTTGAAATCCGCGACTACTGGCTTTCACACATTCATCATGGTCATGTTATTGCTTTCATTGGGGGCCCTCCGTGCAACACATGGAGCAAAGCCCGCAACATCGACCTAGGTGAAGCACATGGACCTAGAGTCATACGTAGCCCAGAAGCTCCGTGGGGCCTGCCATCACTGCGGTTGGGCGAGCTTCGCCAGGTCATGCTGGGCACCCTGTTGCTTGGTTTTGCCTTTGAATGCATGGCAGCACTTGCCACTTGCAATGGTGCTGGGCTTCTGGAGCACCCGAAAGACCCAGAACGCCCAGACTATGTAAGCATCTGGCGTCTACCAATTTTGCAGCTGCTACTGACATTGCCGCGAATGAGACTGATCTCGCTCTCCCAGGGCTTGTTCGGTGCCCCTTCGCCGAAGCCCACTTCGTTCCTTGTTTTGGGCATCGCGACACTGGAAATTGACTTGAATAGACACCGTCTGTCGGGCAATCTTCCACAGGGCTGTTCGATTGGCAAAGACTCTAGCGGCAATTACCGGACTGCTCCGCTTAAAGAATATCCTCCAGCACTCTGTAAAGCGATTGCAGCCGGTCTCTGTACAGACATCACCAGCATTGAGTGCGGTGATACCTGCCAAGATCCACCATCTGAGTTTCTTGCACGATGTAAAGGCATGAGGGATGTGACTTTTGATGGTCGGATTGGACATGACGGCTAAGACCGTCAGGCATTTTGAATTTGAACCTTGCTCCGTCGCAGCGTCGAACGCTTCAAGTCACGGGAGGGAAAAAAATATATATTTATGTATTTATTTATATGCAGCATGTATCTACCTATGCAATCATATATGTGTGTGTGCGTTCATTTATTTATTTATAGATGCTACCCGGTACCCCAAGCTCAGAAGTGAAGCGTTTGTTGCATGCTGGCTTGGTATTTGCGGAGCTTTATCAAGCTGGACCATTGATTGATTGATAGATGATAGGAATAGATAGAAATAGATAGGATTAGATAAGATTAGATAGATAGATAGATCCACATGTGTGTGTGTGTAAGGAGGTCCTACATACCGTACAATTTCAACCATGATGGCCATATAGGTGCGGTCAACTGAGCACCAGTCATGCAGATAGGTGATGTAATGACGCCAGTAGGACGTACAGACGTAATGGAAACCTGGCCATCCCTTCAACAAAAAGATGAGGACCCTGAGAATCGCCAACATTTTTAGAGGAAAACAGCCACGTCCAACCCGACTCATTTGTGCCCACAAATGGCAGGGTCTATGTTAGTTAGAGGGACGGCAAGTTAGCTACTTGAATAGTGATATGTGGTAATTCATCAAGATATCTAGGATTACTCTAAGAACCATAACGACATACGCATATAATATTTTTTTAATAAATACAGGTACACATACTAATTGGTGGTTTCAACCCCCTGAAAAATATGAGTTCGTCGGATTGGATCATCATCCCAACTACTGGGGAAAATAATCCATTCATACCCTCTGGTAAATTAACATAGACCCTGGCAGTCATCGGGGTTGGAAGACTAGTTTCCATTAAAAACTGGTGATTTTCAGGGTCCAACTGTTTATTTACCAGAGGGTATTCCAAAGCACCAAGCAGTACATATTGGTTCAAAACAAATCCCTATGTTAAAGATGGGCTGTTCCATTGAATCATCACACATCTTGAACCCTTTTTACTGCTGCATGGCATCACGGCGCAAGCAGGATATCATGGCGACATCTGGATATGAAACCCGATACTAATAACTAGTATAATCAGCATATAGTAAGGCCAAACAAAAACAACACACAAAAAAAAAAAACACAATACCTTGCTGTGTACAATGGTTAATGAACATGTAAACACTTTTTACATGCCCTAGGCTTTACAATGGTTAACATGGCGATGTTCATCTTGTACGAACATTGTGGGGATTTCCCAGCCATGGCCATGATGACACGGGTTTCGGGTAAACCCATATTTTTATGCCAAAAAAATACCATGATGATCCCAGTCTTATCCTTATTAAACCAGATCATCTCATTCTTAAACCCTAGCAAAAACTGAAAAAAAAAACATGCTATCCATTATTAGGTCAAATAAAACCATACAAACCCATAAAAAAACTCACCAGCACTCGTCACTTTCACCACCGAAAAGCCATGGCTCAGTCCTGAAATCTCCAGTGCTCACCCAGCGCCTGGCCATGTCATGCCATGTCGCTGGGTGATCTTTTCTACTTGCTTTACGCCAGCTATATTCAATGGGAGATCTCCAGGATCCTAAAATGGAGGTACGTTAGTACCATATAAGGGTACTGTACCATATTTTAGGCCATATTTTGGGGGATATATTCCCTGAAATTTAGGCCTAAAAAATAGGCCTTATATATGGTAGGTACCTCCAATTTGGGTTCCTGGAATGGTCATTGATATACGGATCAGTAGGGTGAGTCCAGCTACAAGTGGGGTGAACTAACACGAACTAACTGGATCTAACTGGAATGCAGCAGCAAAATCTCTGGGAAAACTGGGTCCAAAACGCTACGTTTGCACGACTGAAGGATTTTCCGCTGAAGCCGCATTGTAGGCCGCGCAACAAGCCCCCGCGCATGTTCAAGCTTCAGATTTAATGTGGCAAACCCAGTCGGAATTTCAGAACACTTTTTGCAGGGTATAGTGTTCAATGCCCTGAACTAGTAAAATGATGTAGATAAAAGTGGGATAGTTTCTTGTTGGTTTTTGCCACATCACTTGGATGTTCTGATCCGGGTCCCATTCCATATAGATCAACCATGAGAATGCCATCATAAGCATTCTCAACCATCCCATTAGCCATGGCGGTCATCAATCACCCCATTGCGGACTGGGTACCCGGCCTGGTAAACATACAAAAAACTATTGAAAATGGCCATTTATAGTGGGTTTTCCCATTAAAAATTGTGATTTTCCAATATTTTCCATAGCTATGTTAGCTTACCAGAGGGTATACCCAATGTCATAAGCCAAAATTGGGGATGGTGACAATGGCACAAGGTTTAAACTTAAAAATCATCCACTCGGCAATTCATCGACTCAGCGAATTTAGGATTTGCAGACCCCACCAACATGGCCAAGTTAGATGCCCTGCCAAAAAGTTCATGGTTGGTTTCTTTCTTACCATTCATGGTCAAGTTTGAAGTCGCAACCTACAAAAGAAAAATACATGGTTTACCCACATTCACCTAGAAAAAAACACCATCATGTGTTCCATCACAGGTTTCATGGGTATTCCCACTAGGGCATACTATAGACGTGTCACCGTTTGGCCCCGTCAGAGACGAAAAAAAATCCCATTCTCATCCAAATCGTCTCCATTGATGGATGCCTAAATCAGCTGCTGCATCCCATGATCTTCCCATTCTATCCCCATTGCATCCGAACCTTTGGATGGTTGAACCACGTTAAAGCCATATTTGGAGACCCGGATACCCCTCCCCGACACTCGAAAGCTCGGATCACCTCTTTGATCTCGTCCGCGCTGTGCTTCAAACAGGCTGCAGCCACCAGAAGGGGTGGCTCACCTGTTTGGATCATGTCCCTGGATGTCCCAGATAGGATCCCTGGTGACCTGTAGGTTTAAGCATGTTTAAGCCATGCAGAAGCATTATACAACTGGGCTATTGTTTTTCACCCACTGGGATACAGCCTCAAGCTGTGCCCGTGTCCAATACCATCAACACCCAAGCTAGTGAGTTCTACTTCTCAGTTCTTTAGTTCCCACGATTCACTCATTCATCCCATGAAGAGTTGAAATCCTAATCTTTGGGACCCCGAAAGCATGGTTGTTTCGGCTAGTTCCAATAGCCACTTACATCGAAACGTGCATGAAAATTGGGGTCTAGCCTCCAAATTTCACCCTTAAATTGTCGTGGCCACGTTGGGGCCAAGACTCCTCTTCCCCCTCGCTTACACCTCGCGGGCGGAAGGCGAGGACGAAGACGCCAAGCGTGATGCAAGCCTCAGTGAGGTCCACTGGGTTTTTTTCTCCAAAAATGTCTGAGCAAAAAAAATCAATTGGTTCATCATCGTGTTCCCCCATGCAAATCGAAATTTGATCCTGACAAATATTGTATATATCCCTAATATGACATCAATATCAATATCTGGAGTTTCTGTGGCCGGATTGGAATTCCAACTCACATCAGTTCGTTGGAGTTGGAAGTTGCCAACCTTTCGCACTGCCACGAGACATTCCACTGCCGTAACCGAGTCCCAGTGAGGTCATATGCACCAAACCCCTGCGCGGGGTTTGGCGAAGAAAAACGAAATAAGGGAAACCACAAGAGGTCATGAAGGGAATCTCAAAGAAAATCCTATGATGTTTTGATGGTTTTTTGTAGTTCACCCGCGAAAGGTTTAGAATGCTCTCAATCATCATCCCATCAACACCTGGGTCACCTGGGCTGCCGGACCCATAGCCACCCGGCATAGCAATACCTCAGCCAGCTGGATCTTTGACGCAAAATCCAATTCAAAAACCGTTTATGGTAGGTTTATTCTTAGGAAACGCCCGTTCCGTTATTTGGTGAATCTGGATGGATTGTATTTTGAATTCACTAAGGGGGTACCCCTTCGTTCACCATCGCTGTGACGTCGCAGTGAGGTCGTCACGTCGGGTATCCTGAGTGAATGATGTAGCTTTTGAATTCACAATGTATTGATCATCTGGTTGGTGGTTAAAAAGCCATCTTGAAAAATGATGGAGTTAAAGTCAATGGGAAGGATGAATTATCCCTTTTTTATGAAATGGAAAATAATCCATTCATGTTTGAAACCAACCAGTGGATGTCTTGAACACAAATGAACGTTCAATACCCTCTGGTAAACTAACATCACTATGGAAAATCATTCTTAATGGGAAAATCCACTATAAATGGCCATGTTCCAGTTCGCTTTTTGTTAGTTTACCAGGCCGGGTAACCAGTGTGTGGGCTGCCGAAACCTGTCCGCGCTGTCCGCGCGGAAAGGCCGAAACATGGGCCCCGACAGCAGCATGGCCATCAAAAAGTGTAGGGCAAATCTCACCTGAGACCATGGCGAATCTGAGGGATTTAAGATGACTTACCCTCCAGTTATTTCACATAGCCATGGGGAATGGCCCATAGAAATAGATGGTTTACCTATTAAAAATGGTTATTTTCCATGGCAAACTGTTAAATAACAAGATGGTACCCCTCTGGTTATGTTAAACATAGCTATTGAAAATGGCCCAGTCGAAATAGTGGATTTACCCAGCTACAACATGGTGGATCTTTCCATAGTTATGAAACAGTTTACCAGAGGGTAATGGATGGATTTTCGGAACAATGTCAGAGGAAACATCAGGAGACCTCCATGGATCTTTCCATAGTTTTTTGTATGTTTACCAGAGGGTATATCCCTATTTGTTTGATGATCAAAGCCCATATTCAAAGTAAGATATGGAACCATGATAAACCAGTTCAATATATCGCATATTTTTTCGGGGCTCCAAATACCATCAAATACCACCGATTTCCTGCCTTCCATCGACGCTTCTGCGTGGGAGGATCTGGCGGTGTAAGATGTAACCAAGATGGGGATTGATAGGTGATAATGATATAGGGTTAAGTTGATTGGTGACCCATATATTTGATATAGGGTTAAGTATATATATTGTATATAGAATTTATATTTATGGGATATGGTTAGCCATAACTTATATAGCTGATGTTTCTCATTGGTTAAGTTGGTTATGTTCGTTACGTTCACTAGGGGTGGCAGATATATTTATAGTTGGATGGAAGTTATAAAGAAACTTACAACGAAGAGGCACCAGTTTGTAGAATCTGACCTTGATGTGATTGAGGCATATTGAGGCGTTTGATCCTCAGAAGGCTCTTTCAGTCGGCTTTTCACAATCCAAACAGGGATGAAATACCAAGTTTTGCGTGCTGAAGACCCATCGATTTTGGAGTCAAGCCCCAACTTTAGGCTACTCCATTGCATACCCAAACAAAGCATTGATATTCCCTCTCAGTTTGGCTGGTGAACTAGCCGTTGTTTTTCGAACTGTCAACTGAAAGAGTTTCTCATTCTCCCTTGACCTTTTGTCATTTTTCGGTTCAATTTGATCCAGTTGGATCCATTTACATTCATTTACTGTGTATACATATATATATATATATATACCCTCTGGTAAACTAACATAACTATGGAAAATCACCATTTTTAATGGGAAAATCAACTATAAATGGCAATTTTCAATAGCTATGTTAAATTACCAGAGGTTTATATATATATATATATCCATATGTTACACCCAAAATATTGATATCCTTGGATCTGCTTAAGGAACGACATACTTCCCCATACTTCCACACTCCCCAAGTAGGGCATTTCTCGTTAGGAAATAAAAGAGCATCTGCAGAAATCCAAGTATATCCCCACTTGGATGCACATCCCAGGCATAGTAAGTGACTTATGACCCCATAATCTAAGTGGGGATATCCCATTAATCTAACGGGGGCATGTTATGTTTTTATATGGCTATATAGCCACTTATCAGTGGAACTGCACTCCCAAGTATGTTCCCAGTAACTCATGTTTTCATATGGTTTCTCTGTGGTTTATAATATACGGATTATCTGGTAAACTAACAGTTTGCTCTGGAAAATCACTATCTTGTATAGGTAAACCATGGTAAGCCATGGTAAACCAACTATAAATTGCCAATTTTCACCCATTTTCCATAGTAAACCATGGGATAACCATGGGATCACCATGGGATAAGCATGCTAAGTTCACCCCCGCCTGCCGCAGGTTCCAGGATGCGCACGCCATGGCGCAGTTCGCGCCTCGCCCGCAGAAACAAAGAACTGTGGATTTTTTTGGGGTGTGATTAGAAAGTAAAAAGTACTAATTCGAAATTGACATCTGACATAAACTGAGACATACATATCATTCAAGATATATGATATACATTATATAAGTCTCAACACCTTTGGGGTGCACTTTTTACGCTGGGGGCTCCAGCAAGCGGAAACCGCGATGCTGCAGCGCTTGCGTGAGGACCTGCCGCGCGATGCTACCGCGGATTCCAAGGGGGTGCCCTCCACAGGGGGGTTACCCACCAGGGTTAACCATGAAAAATGATGGTTTAACATGGCTTAACCAGCAATTGATGGGAATATGTAACGGGAATATGGAATGGGAATATGGAATGGGATTTCATTTGATAGTGATATAACAGTGATATATATATATATATATAATATACACATATAATAGTGATATAACCCGGAAATTGGAGTTTCAATGGATTGGTGTTGTTCGGGAAGATTTACAGGAAGCCGGCCGTGTTGAGGCGTTAGAAGCCACTTGTTCCGCGTACGTCGCATGTTCAAAGTAGGGAATCCTATTGGGATGTAAACCCTGGGACTTTCCTACACATGGTCATGATGGGCTTCTTGGTCATCTTATTTATTTCTTCACAAAGCCTACCCTCTGGTGAACTAACATAGCAATGGAAAATGGCCCAGTCGAAATCGTGGATTTTCCCAGCTACAAAATGCTGGATCGTTCCATTGCAAACTGTTAGTTCACCAGAGGGTATCCAATATTTCCCATGATTTCCCACTAAATCACCATGAATTCCCCAGATTCCCATGGAAATCTCCTGGTTTTTTGGGTGAAGCGCCTCAAAAAATTGATGGGTGAAGCGCCCAGCCAGCCTGGCTACACTCCTTCATCTTCGCCTCCTGGATTTGCCGATCCGGGCCGTGAAGAAAATAGGACAATGCTAGCAGGAGATTCCCCAAATGATGGGGATGTATAGTATGATATATATATATATATATACATATGTGTGTATATATATTTGATAAATCATCATCTTAACTATGGTGTATGGTAAATATAATCTACCATTGGTTGGTGATATGATATGATATGATATGATATGATATGTATGCATGTATATGATATATATATATATATATACATATGTGATATAGAATGGGATACCATGGGAAAAATGCAATGGGATAGTGACACAATGGGATTATCAAACTTCTGATGGATCCAGATGAAGACAGATTGGTTTTACCATGGGGTTTACCTGTGTTCATGTAGGAGATATGTCTGGTGGATCAACGGTCATCCAGGAACATTAATCCTTTTCAGGTGGTTTCTTCTCTCTCAAATTGAGAGGGGCCACTTTTTTGTGCAAAACGCATCTGTTCATCTACTGTCAGTGGAAGTCGCCCAGTGTATATATAGATCCTCAACCAATGGATTGCCAGCGTTGATTTTTGTTCATTGTTTGCCTGAAGTACCCTCTGGTAAACTGCCACATAACTATGGAAAATCACCATTTTCAATGGGAAAATCAATTATAAATGGGCCATGTTCAATAGCTATGTTAAATTACCAGAGGGTATTTTAAAGAAAGGTGTTTGATGATCAACGGTTCTCCATCAAAACGATGGGGGCTCCCTACCTATCCTATATTTCATGATATTTCATGGATTCTCGCAGCCACAAACACGGACAAACCTTGGATGGGTGTGTCTGAAAATTGGCTCATGCGTCCAAAATCATCATGTTACCCTCTGGTAAAACTAACAGTTTGCTATTGAAAAAGGCCATAGAAATAGTGTATAATATATTATATGGATGATATCTTAGGTGAGTTTTCCCATTGAAAATGGTGATGTTCCATAGTTATGTTCGGAAAATCATGATTCACCTGTGGATCTGTAGGGATCAGCCTGGCTGAATCCCAGTGCTGAAATCCCCACATTTCCTAGTGATATCCAAACTCTTCCAGGCTGCTGGTGCTGTTGCTTTCCAAAACCCCCAACAGTTTTTACATATCTTTACTGTTTTTCTTACTGGTGCGTTTTACGTAGGGAATGGATGGGTTGCTGGGGGGTTGCTGGGATGAAAAAATTGATAGTTAGCCAGTGGATCATTCTCGAAAATTCCCTGCGTTTTGGCACCAGTAAGTTTCACTCGAAATCTCCCCGTTGTTTGTTGCTGAAATTCCCCCATTCGTCTCGAAATCCCAAGGTTTTTTGAAGGTTTTTTGTTGCCACCTGCCAGGTGCTGGCCGCCGGCTGCGCGAGTTCCGGCAGTTCCTGGAGGCGTTGAGTGATGAGAATCTCCCCTAATCAATAGTAATCAATAGTTAAGATTACCATATTATTGGTTAATATTCATGGTTAAGTTATTTTTCTTAATCATCAACCATGAGTTAATAGTTGACCATGGTTAAGAATACGTAAATTAACTCATGATTATATTAATGGTTAACTATAGAAATTGATAATGGGTAATATTGGTTAACCAATGGTTAACTATTGGTCAATGATGATTGGATATAAATGGATTAGATCGTTGCTGCCTTTTTGTGCTGATCATCCTAAATACACCCTCCATTAAACTGGGCTCCCCCACGTCAACAGATTCAATACTTAACCCAGGGTTTGGTTTGGGAATATGTAAAATGACGGGAAAGGGGTTTATTAGTAATATGCATTAATAGTTATGAATGTTGGATGGGATTTAGTATTGATAGTTATGAATGTTGTAGTATTGATAGTTATGAATGTTGGGTGCCGGTTAGTGGATACCCCCCTAAACACCTAAACAATTGGTGGGTCGTCAATATAGAGGAATGCCGAAAGAACCATGACTGGAAGTGATAGTAGGAGAACTCCTATGGGAAAGCTAAATTTTCCATTTACCAAAAATAGTTAATCACTACAAAAAAAAAAAGTGTTATTGATAGGCAAGATTGTTGCGTCTCTGCAAGTGATCCTTACGGCGGCTAATTCTCGGTAGTTCAAATTGCTTCCCAACGTGTCAAATGTTGATTGGTTCATATGTACATGAGTGTACATACATACATACCATACCATACCATACCATACCATACCATAGCATAGCATAACATTACATTACATTACATACATTACATACATTACATATATATATAATATGTGTGTACAGTATATATATATATATATGTGTGTGTGTGTGCGCGTATGTGTAAATTTATGCAAGATATTGCGTATGGGTCAAACAAAAATCAACGGCACCCCCGACACGATCCCAACAGAATGGACCATATCACCCAATTGGGGAGTGCGTAGTTTTGATCCAAAATCCAGGGAGTTTTGGATGGTTCCCTGGGTTCCGAAATGTTCCGAAGCATCCAAAAACATGTGAGAAAACAGCTAGATGGTCTTCCGAACATGAGGATGGTTTCGATCTCTAATGTCTTAGGAACGGGGATCTGAACAATGGGCATAGATTATTTTTTAATATATACTATAGATATCGATCATGTATATCAAACATTGTTACCCTCTGGTAAACTAACATAACTATGGAAAATCACCATTTTTAATGGGAAAATCCACTATAAATGGCCATGTTCAATAGCTATGTTAAATTACCAGAGTGTAATATATAATTCACCAACCTGAAGGCACAGTGAGGTCATCAAAATCAGCCGCCCAATCAGCCAGGGACCCCAGACGGAGGGTGAACCGTGATACGGACGCCTGAACGCCATTCTGAATCCAAATCAAATTTGTCAAAGGTATATTAAAAGTTTATGGTTCTAAATGTGAGATATCAAGATTGATATTGAACCATTTATGGTTTTTCTCAGAGGAATCTGAGAACTGTATAGTCGCTATAATGGGTCCAAGTTGTGGTTCTATGAACGAGACTTTCTTGGACTCCAAAAAAAAATGGGGGCTTGGTCAGAACAAAACCTGGTGAATCATAACAAAAGGACCCAAGAAATGATAGAAATGTGAAGACCAAATTCTGTTTGACCTATTGCAAGACGGGGATTCTCAGGGAAGGGGAATGGGCAACTGTTACAAGTGTTTTTGACGATCACATGGTCACCTTTTTCTTCCAGAAAGGTCACTGTTTGGATGGGCAACCACAGAAAAAATACGACCCGGTACGCCTCCATTTTTCAAATGCTCAAACAATCCAAACTGGTCATAACTGACTGTTGTTAGAACCATAACCAATGGATAACCCTCGGGTGTCCTCAAACATGGCTGGAACATCCTCAAGCCATAATTCGATCATTTCCCGCTAGACACCTCCATTTAGTTCGGGGATTTTCCAGATTTTTCCAGCCAGCCATGTTTGATGACACGGGTAAATGGATCCCTGGCAATTACTGATTGCATCTGATTGCCATCATGTTTCTGGACCCCCGGATGCGGAAGGTGTCTTTCTGTGGCCAAAAACACGTGTTGTTCTACTGGGTGGGCAACTGGCGTGTTCTTTTCACAGTGGCTGCCAGTGAACCTCTACGATTTTCACCATCCTGAATAATACCCTTCGGTAAACTAACATAACTATGGAAAATCACCGTTTTCAATGGGAAAATCAACTATAAATGGCCATGTGTCAGTAGCAAACTGTTAGTTTACCAGAGGGTATCCATTCTGGTGTCGATGTGGGTTGTTTTTGGGCTTTTTGGGCGCCCCCTTCCATCCACTGGTTTTTTTCCTTGTCCTTATTCAATCATCGCCAGCGGGTGGGTATACCCCATTGTCAGACACATTCAAAAATCTACAGTAATCCCAGTAGTTCAATGGAAATTTCAGGATCCTAAAATGGAGGTACTGTACCATGTAAGGCCATATTTTGCTGGGGATATTCCCTTACATAAGCCTTACATAGGCCTTATATATGGTAGGTACCTCCAATTTAGGTTCCTGAAATGGCCATTGAGTAGTGTTGGGCATATATCCGATGAAATCCCATTAGATATCATTAAATTTACATCAGCATAGTTGTTTGTGAAAAACCACTATCAATCACCCATGGTGTTTACCCAAAAGTGATACATTGCTCGGAAGTTGTTGCCTGCTGCTGGGCGTTGTCACCGAGGTATGGTTGATCTTGCTGGCAGCCTGGAATGAAGATTATATGAGTTGTGACAGTGTCAGCAACCAATCATGCTATGTTCTGCTGAAACTCCCACTGGTCTACCTGTTGTATAACTCGCGTGTTTTAGAAAGTTGAATAGAAACTCCACATTTTTTGGAGGAAGTTGGTTGGAAGCATTGTGTATAACTCTCCCTTTCTTGTTGATTAAATATGTCAAATATATGATATTGCGAAACCAGGTTAGCCGCCAGCGCACAGCAGCTAAGTTTTCTTGAGCCAAAATGAAAGTAAGCACAAAGGTTTTGTGCATATCATCCTTAAGCAAGGGCCATGCTGGCCTTCTAATGATTCCATGGAGACACTTCTTGATTTGTGCGTGTCATCCTTGTGAAAAAACGGACATCTCACCACACTCCCCCATGCTGTTTGACAGCATTCGGAGGTGAGAAATCCAACAGCCAAAAAATGGACAGTAAAAACTCTGTCCCATAACTGCGGCCCTACATGTCCTCCTCTTCGTTCTCCGGCTAAGCCACATGATCACCACCACCTTCGGGTTGGTCTGTCACCAGGGAGAAATCATCAGAGGGGTTTTCGGGCTCCACAGCTTCATCATACTCTGAGTCCCCATCGCCAATCGTGGCGCCATGGAGAAAATCCCAGAGCTCTGCGTCGCTGACATTGGATCTGCTTGATCTCAGATATCTCGCCCTCCTGTGTTCCGGCGCTTCGTGAGGGCGCAAGGGAGGTGGAAGGGGAGCCTGAAGTGCTCGCAAGGTGGCATCGTTCACCGACTCACCCTCCCGAATTGACATAGTTGGTCCATTGGACCACCGGTTGACGGGCCCCCCAGGCCTCATCAACACCGAGCTTCCAGGTGGAATGCTGCCGTAGCTACCCTTTCCACCAAGCAAAGGCCTGGACCCTGACGATGGTCCTCCTGGATTCCAAGAAGCAGCCCCGAATGCCGTGGAGCTCGGCGGAGAAAACGAACCTCCAGGGCTCGAAGTTGCCGGAGGCCTCCACCTCAAGCTCGGGCCACGGCCGCCACCATGGGTTCCAGCCACAGACCAACTCCCATCAGATGACGCCGATCCAGAGACAGTGGATCCAGCGTGTCCGTAGCGATTGGTAATGGTATTGATTGATGCCTTTGCGGCAGCACCCCTTTCTGTGACTGTGGGATGCCCCCTTCTAACCGGGTTACCTGGACCTCGGCTAGGTGGAGCTCCATCGCCTGACTCCACAAAGGTCCGACGACGGCTCGAGCTCGAAACCCCAAACTGCCGAGGCATGTTCCTGCCACTTTCTTCTGGAGTCCAGACAAGTGTGTCTGGTTGGATCCGAGGCTGTTGAGAGGAGCTTCCACCGCCCTGTGAGCTTTCTCTCAAACGGAAGAAGGTCCAACCCCTCCATTGGCCGGACACCGGCGGTTGTGGAGGTGCTTGTCCAAGGTACCAGTTGTCATGCTGGACACTTTTTTCCCAGCCATGATCCCCTGACCACCATATGACCGAGACCCGTTGTGCTTCAAGGTCCTCGGTGCGAACTGGGCAGCTTCGGTGTACTGGATGGAAGAGTCGGCTCTGAAGAGAGCGATGAATCCTCACCACCCAGCCCCCGCCCATGGTGATCCACAGGTCATCATTTGCCGCGTGCGGCGGTTGGTTGAATTCCGGGGCCTCCCATGGCCTGGGGCCATACGTCAAATCAGCCCTCAAAGCGCTGAGGCGCGGAATCGCCGAGGATCCCTCGGTGCAACCATTGGCTGCAATGTCCAATGCGGCCAGTGCGGGTTCATCGACCTTCGCATCGACCTGAATTTGTCTGAGCTCGGTTTCTCTCAGGCACCCTTTTTCAATGGCCTGCGCCTTCACGGCGTTCCTTTCAGAGTTCATTTGATGCGCCACCCAGGCTACCAAGGCCGTTATTCCCAAGGTGGTAGCCAACCGTTCCATGTCAGAAAGATGGCAACATTTCAACACCGTCCCAAGAGCAACTACTGCGGTGAGAGCCGCGACCTTCTTTTTTGAAGCCACCAAAGCCCCCCCCGATCCTTCCAAGTGCTCTTCCTTCTCTGAAACTCCATCCACCAGTCCCATAAACTTGTAGAACTTCTCCCAGAGCGTAGCCGCAGAGATCGATTTCGTGAGCAAATCAGCTGCCAGCTCGCTCCCAGGCACATGTCTGCCCTTCCAGAGCCCCCACTGCATCCGCTCCCGTAGCACATGGCTACGAAGACGAAGGTGCCTTGTCCTCCATGGACCGTCTGGGGACTCCAGCAGCTTGAGCCCTGAAAGGCTATCTCCGTAAAGAACCTTGTCTCCAGACAAGGCCACCTGGTTCTCCTCCAAAATTTCCACAATGGTGGATACTGACTCGCCCAGCACCATACCATCACAATACCCAACCAACTCTGACTCGGTCGTTGAGAGAACTGCGAAAGGCTGCAAGCGAGAGTCCCACTGCACCGGAGAACCCCCATACAAGGCGATGAGGCCCTGATGTCCTCGCTGGCAGTTGGAACCCAAAGCGGCATCACTGTAGACCTCCAGGGTCCTCATACTTCGAGGGAATGCCAAAGAGTTGTCTTCCCCAAACCCACCTTCACATTTTCCATACTTCAGGCAAAGCTCTGGAGTATTCAGCAGATACCCCAGGGTATGTCTGCTGTATGTCAGAACCCGACGTGGGCACTTCGACACGTTCCGGCCCAACCAGGCCACAGCATAGCTCAAATCCGGGCGGGTTCTGCAAGATGCCCATAAAAGTTCGCCGACAGTGGTCTGTGCGGCCCGAATGTCCGAGACCTGGATGTTCTCTTCCTTTTCCTCATCCAACAAGGCAGGAAGAGGTGTCGTCTTCGGCGACAAGTTGGAGTAACGGCCCAAGACATCCTTCACGTAGGACCGTTGAGATAGTAACAGGGCACCATCCTGCCTTGAAATCTCAAATCCACAAAACTTCATCCAAGCACCCGTGGAGACATACTCCGGCTTGGAGCATTTCCAGACCTCCTGAATCTTCGCCAGAAAGCTGTCGACCAAGCCTTTGTTTCCCACGGCCATCACGTCATCCACGTAGAGAGCTACATAGCCCTGAGCCACGTCTTCCTTGTTGATCGGCTCCTTGGTGGGTAGAATCTTCCAGAGATTCTGCTCCGAAGTTCTCACCAGATGGAACTCCTCGGTTCCAAACATCCATCGAAGCTTACCCAGAACGTTGTTGCGATAACTGGACCAATCTGCTGGGGACGATTGAAGTCCATACAACGCATTTTCGATGCGCCATAGGTCACCTTCATCACATATTCCGGCCTCAATCAGAATGCGAGGCGGCTTCATGATCAAGAGGAATTGGGAGGCAGCTCGGCGAGGAGCCAATAGGAAAGCTGTGGCCACATCCAGAGATGCCACCGTCCAGTCCTCTGCCGCTGCTTTCCTGGTCAAACATCGCAGGAGAGTGCCATCCGCGCCACCCGCATAGGTAGAAAATGGCGACGACTTCTCCACCTCGACGCTCTGTTGACCCCCATCAGCCTTCTCGATCCTGTTGCCGCAAATTACTATACGAGCCTTTCGACGCCCACTTGGAGCTTTTATCGTCGGCACCAACATGGCCGGCGCTCTCTCCAAGTTGGCGTAGTTGGGATGCCGTTTCACTTCTTCTTCGCTGGTCACCTGGATAGCACCCGTGTCCAAGAGGCTTTTGTATTCTGCCAGTAAGGGCTGTTTCCACAGGTCCAGCTCTTTCCTCACCTGCTGCAATGGCACGGTGTAGGTTTGTAAAACAGTGGCAGGCGGCCCATCAGATTGATCTTGGCCACCTTGCTGGCTATTGGCCACCAGTGACTTCAAACGAGCCAAATTCTCTGAACGATCCAACTCCACCAGCTCATCCTCCAAAGTGGTGATCCGGCTCTCCAAAAACTCCAAGGTGTAGCCATGCAGCCCTCCTTCATCCTCACCAACTGCTACACTTCTGAGCTCTTCCATCAGCTGGTTTTTCCATCCCCAGTGCTCTTCCCGAAGACGCTGTGACAGTTGATCTCCATATTGCAGGGAACAGAGAGCTCTGTTGGCACATACCCGTTGCCGATCCACCTTGAAAGCTTGTCCACAAAACCCACAGGCTTTCTCATCCGGTTGTTGAAGACCGCATCCTCGACATTGGTGCAATCCAGAAGTGCCAAAAACTACACTACCAGAAGTTTTCAAAGTTTTCAAAGTGCTGGAGAGGTTTGTGTTCTCCCCCCCAGCCCGCATCGTATGAAGGGCTGGAACAGGTTCCTCCTCTCCATCACTGAAGATTCCTTGTGGCCACTGTGGCCCATCTTCACCCTCTTCAAGTTGAGGTGGCTCCCCCTGATCCTCTATCTCTGCTTCAGCTCCCCCAGGTTCTTCACCTTCAGAACCGTGAGCTGCAAGGGACAGGAAGTCGCCATCAGAGTGTTGTTTTGGAGGCGGCACATCAGGCAAGGTTGGGTCCGGAGGCTGCTTACCATGGACACGCCTGTGTGGGTGCCCTGCGGCTTGAACCTCCAGGAGCTCCATGATCGCCTGGTCACTGTTAGGGTCCGTTTTGACGGCCAGCCTAGCATGCTGAAGCTGTCCCTCGTCCATCAAGATGTAGCCAGTGGACATCAGTGGACTTGGTCCCATCAACGTCATGGTTCTGAATGGCGATGCTAATGCCCCATGCCGATGCCACCTTTTCCGTTTCACTGTCACCCTCGAGCCGATAGGGAGAAGTGGCTGTACTGGGACACCAAAGGTCGCCAGCTGTTTCCGTAGCCTCTCTTCCCCGGCATACCGCGCCACACCGGGCCAGTACTTTTGGTCCAACCCGGAACCACTGAGCAAAAGGCGGACCCGGCGTTTCACCTGTTGGACCTCCGACTCGATTCTTCCGTTACTGGGGCCTTCGTCCCCTCCAGTAAGGGTTTGCCATACCCCAATGCGTTGACACCAGGCTTGGAAGTGTCGGGATAAAAAGGCTGTTTCTCGATCCGTGTGGATCCTCA